ATTCTACTAACTACTAATTACTAACACTAAACTCTTTTAACGTATAACAACTAGTGCAAATTGCATGACTCTATCTATATAAGAGGGGAAAAAAAAGACTAGCTATAGTTTACTCGAAAGCAACCATATGTTCTTCAACTTTTTTAGGGATGACTACTAGAAAAATCCTCTAAAAAAATTTTATATCAAAGTAACCCATCAATTTATTTTTAAGTCTCTTAAACCAAAAATAATATTTTTCTTACCAAAACACCCAATAGTTAACCTCCAACTTAACACTAGTTAACTATTGGGTTTTTTGATAAGATAATTTTTTTTATTTTTTATTTTTAGGTTTGAGAGATTTAAAAAATAAATTGATGGATTTTTTAGATATAAAATTTTTTAGAGTTTTTATCCAATGATAAACTCATTTCATAGTTTTTAATGAGTTTGATATTTATTTATTTATTTGATCATCAAGTCAAGTTCTTTTTTTATTGCATTCAAAAGAAAAAAAAAAAAGGTTTTTGAGGTTCTTTGACTTTTAAACACTAACATTCGACTATAATTTTTTTTATTATACAAAAAAATTTTCTTATATTAGAGTTTTTTTTCTATCGATTGCTTGTTTCATTAATTACGAGATTAATTTTACTATCTAATAACTATAGCAACCAATGCAATTTAACTAATTAATATCGATGAATGAACTCTTGTTACTCTCTTGTAATTTAATCAAATGGTTATCATACAAATAAGAAAAATAAGAATATGTATGATTATGAACATCAATAATTTCTTAAATTCTAATATATTGATAGGAAAAAAAAGACATCATTGATAATACTAGTTTTTAATTAATCAAAACTCAACATTTTTTATCAAAAAATTAAATTAAATTAAAATATGAATGTATAACATATTTTGGTGCATTAATTAAATAAAACATGATCATCCATAATAGAAATACATATCTTGAAAGATAATGATTTCATTTAAACCATGGATAGTTAACAAAATACATTCTAAAAAATCTTCTATCTAAAAAATTCATTATTTTATTTTTAAATCTTTCAAACACAAAATAATATTTTTAAATCTCACAAACCTAAAATAATATTTTTCTTACCAAAACAACCAATAGTTAACACTATTATTAATTATTGAGTGTTTTAATAAGAAAAATATTATTTTGGGTCTTAGAGATTTAAAAATAAATTTATGAGTTTTTTTATAAGGTTTTTCTGATAATTATCTCAATTTTTTATTCCTTCAACACGTTGGATGGTGTCATACTACTCCTGATCATAATAATATTCATTTAGAAAATTAACCTTCAAGTTATACTATTTAGATTTATCAATGGAAAGAAATTTAAATGTTAACCATTTGAAGGTCGATGCAGGTTGAATTTGAAGTATTTTTTTTTAAAAAAAGAGTTATTACAGTTCTTGAAGAAGGAAAAATCAATTTGAGTCACAATCCTGTGCATAAAAATGAAAAATAAAAGTGTTATCTATACCACTTTATTTTGAAAAAAAAAATATCTGTACCAGTTTAAGCATTGGATTACTTAGTAATTTAGTTAGCCACAACTTAAAGCAAAAACTTTTTAGTCACGTGGATTGACTTCTTTCATGTGGATTACGGTGGAAACACCTGTTCAATCTTTGGCTTTCAAATTTCGATACATTTACAGCAGAATCGAGGAAAATGGGAAGGCTTTTATTTTTTTATCTTTTTAATCTACTTGAGCTTCTTTTTTCATGTCGGAGGAGAAAGAATGCCAGTTTCCCAACTTCCCAAATGACAGAAAAAGCTTGAAAGCAGTAATAATAGCCTAACACGACAACAAAGAAGAGCACAAGGGACAAACAAGAAAAGAAATAGGTAAAAGTACTTATTTACTTTACTGCCTTTTATTAAGCTAATAGCCATGTAATCACCTTGACTTATGCTAAAACGAAAACATAAAAAAAGAGAAATAACTCTTCAAATCATAACATCAGATTGACTTTACTGGATCAAGGATTGTGCTTCTTTGAAAATTAACTTCCTTGATATATGCATTATAGGTTGTTTTTAAAAAATATATTATGATTTCAACAAAACTTTTCTTGCGGATCCTCTAACTGCAACAACGAACTTCCAATCCAACAAAGTTCTTTCATTTCTTCCGGTCTAACATTTTGCCGCTTGGGCCCATCATGAAGAAAATAGATCGGTTTGTCAACCGAGGATTAGTCTCACATTAGGCATAAATAATTTCACTTCACGAAATGTTTGGTTCAAGAACAATGAGGTCAAAAAATTACCTTGTACCAACAGTATGTTTATTTTATTTATTTTTTTTTAGAAAGGTTAATTATTGAGAGTACTAGTTACATCCCAAATTGGTATTTTTGGACTATCAAACAACATTAGATTTAGTTTTATATTCAGTGTGAATTTTATAGATTAATTTAAATTTTGCTTTTAACTTTTGATTCATAAAAAAGTCGTAAATATGTTGGTTAGAAATAACTTTCACTTAAATAAAAAAAATTTTAAAAATTAAATTGAGTTGAAATTTTGATTTAGTTTAAAGTTAAAATTTTTAACTTTTAACTTATAGATTCTAACTTAAACTCTCTTTTCTTTTAAAAAAACAAGAAGCTATTTTGAGTCATTTTTATCAAATATAAATATAACTTAAAATCATTAAGTTTAATTCATTTTTGTCTTTTCTTACAAAATAGAGGGTGTCATTTAGGAAATGGTTGATAGATAAAAGAAGGGAAAGAATGCGGCAAGATCATTCAATTTATCCTTAAATTTTTAACACATCTAATATTATGCGAAAATAACCAATATTTTTTTTATTATAAAAGAAATCTTCTAACTCAAAATTTTTTTAGAACAATACCAATTGAAATACAATTTATTTAGTTTTTAGAAACTTAACTCTTACAAAAATTCTCCTTGCGTTCTTAATCTTATACCAAATGCTACGTTTAGATCTTTGCAATGGCGTCTAAGTGTCTTGATATATGATGTGATAATTAGGGAGAAATAGAAATTGTAATCTGGTAATTTTTTCCAAGAGCAAATGTGTGGTTACCATTTGACCATGACCACATACGAACAGGGTGATGTCATGCCAAGCAACAAAACTCAATCGACTGAAAGTAACTGAAATGTTACTCCAATAGGAACACTTTCATAGCCTATAAATTCGAAAACACAAAACGAAAATGCCAAGAATAAAACAAAAGAGACAGACCACCGTTCCCTTTCATAGAGAAGTTACGTTTGACCAGCTTTCAAAATTGGAATTTTTTAAAAATATCTAGCAAGAGAAAATGTTATAAATACACAAATATGGATACGAATTATTTACTTAAAACTTAACCTAAAAAAAATGAAAAGAGAGAAAGAAAAGAAAAACAAATCGAGAGAGATTTCAATATTTTGGACAGAAAGTTCGCCACAAACTTCGGAAAGTAACGGAGAAATATAGATGAGAGAAGATGACGTGAAAGCCCAATCAGCAAATGGAGCTAGACGGAGAAATTATCGTTTTTTGATTTTGGAAAAATGGACTCCCACGTGCCAGTTACGGTCAAAAGACGGTGCCAATCCGGGACACGTGTGAGCCCATTTCTCCAATAGAAACCGTAATGTTGGAAACATTGACCAAGGGCATCATGTACTAGTAGCTCGACCTTTATTACGTGACTATGACTGCCTATAAATCGTGGTTGGTCACTCTTCAACCATAAAAGATGGGTTCAGCTAATCTCCTGTCCTTGTCCATCCAACCTTTTCATTTCTTTCTAGCAAAAAAGAATTTGCCCGAATTTGTAACAAGATTTCAGAAATTAAAATGAAATTATTTAAGATCCATCTTTTTTTCCCCTTTCTTTTTATATATATTTGGGTTTGTATTTTGAGAGAGAAGCCATTACAAAAGTTCATGTGTTACTTTTAAATAAATTAAGTCTCAACCACATTTTGATGATATCTATCTGTTAATGATCAATCAGATTATGATTTACACTCAATTATAATTAATTAAGAAATTATTAAATTTTTTAAAAACTAATCAATTTATCAATAACAGTCCTTTTCCCATTAATGTCATGTGTAGGATGCCATGCAAGCTTGTAAGATCTGATTAGAATATGGTTTGGGATGCAATATTTTTAAATTTATACTAATCAACTAAAATTTTGAATTGTTACCATTTTCTAATAACTTAGCGTTAAGAGAGAAAATATTTTTGAAATAATTGTATTCTAGCTATCTTGATTACATAATCCATCATCCAAAATATAAATAAGAACTTTCACGTTTTTTGGACTCCATTGATTAGTAAAATAAAAAGAATAAATTATGGGATAAAAATATAAACATGGAACATGTGCAGACGTATTGAAATAAATTTTGTTGTTTTTATTTCAAACTCGATTAGTTCTATTTTTAACAAAAGATGAATATACATGAATAAAATAAAATAAAAACAATTAATATTTTTGGGAAATAATTAAAACCTATAGTAGTAGTGAATAATTAGTAGATCTGGTATTAAAAAGAAAAGCGTATAGCTAGGCATGTACCACAAAGAAAAGGAAACGTATAAATAAATAAAAAAGGTTCGCTAGACTTAATAATGCACCCTGTTAAGGATTCAACCTTTGCTACTTAGTGCTGGACAATGTTAACCAAATTGATCGTTTCCATACTTAAGTGAGACTTTCGATACGGTGGGTTGAGTTCAATTAATTAATAAAAAATACATAACAGTGGAGATTAGCCAAACCTACCATGTAAACTAAATTCTCCCTTCCCCCTTCTCTCTCTCTCTCTCTCTCTCTCTCTCAAGAAAAGTAAAATAAAAATCTTACACAAAAGGTCTACTATTTATTAGAAGAAGAAAACAAGCATCTTATGTAAAGCCCCCTCTGTCAAGCTTTCAAGCATTGCGGTGTATCTTATTTCCTTCCTCTCCCTCCTCATCCTCCTCCTTTTCTTTCCTGATGTCAGATGAAAAGGAAGATCCATACCATTATGATCCCTTTTACTACAATACTCAGCAAGGAACTAACCGGCCGGCGTCGGTGTTTCCATTCTTCAATGACAATCTCTCCATGTACAATCAACAAACACCCACTCAAAACCTACAAGGTTTTAATGATCCCTCATTTATGAGCTTCACTGACTGTCTACAAGGCTCCATGGATCACTATAACACCCTATCAAGAGCCCTTGACGTGTCTTGCTCATCATCGGAGGTGATTAGTCCCATTGATCAAGATGGTTCGAAGAAAATTGGTGCGGGAGAATCAGCAGCTACAAATGAAAATATTCCATCCACGCCAAATTCCTCAATATCTAATTCTTCTTCTAATGATGGAGCAACCGAACAAGACTCTGGGAAGATCAAGAAAGATAAGCAGCCAAAAGAGAGCGAAGATGGGGATGGAGATACTAAGAAAGTGTAGGTTTCTTGATTCTCTTTTCTATATTCATGGTAAAGGTTAACAAGCTTTTAAAGGAACTCCTGTTTTCTTTTTCATTTTTTGTTTTTTTTTCCAATTTATGGATAATTAGGGTTTGTGTACACCACTTTTTTTCCCAAGACAAATTGTCAAAGTCTTTTTAATAACTGATGCAGTTATCATTGCTTTTTCTTCTTGATGTTTTTTGAACTTATTATACGACTTTTACCACTTCTAGTAAAAGGGATATGGGCGATCTTTTCTTATAAGCTCCTGTACCATGCATAGAATCTTTTGAATGCTTAATTCATCAGTTTCCCGAGGCTAACGCTCAAAAATCTAAATAAAATGGAGCATTATTCATTATTGGCTATAAACCCTAGTGCAAATAAAACATATTTCTGCTTAGATTTATAAGATCTGGCTCTGTGCACTTTGACTTTGTTTTTTCTCTATTACCAGGAGCAAGACAAAAAAGAAAGAGAAACGGCAAAAGGAGCCACGGTTTGCCTTCTTGACCAAGAGTGAAATTGATCATCTTGAAGATGGATACAGATGGAGGAAGTACGGTCAGAAGGCAGTGAAGAATAGTCCTTATCCAAGGTCATTTTGCTCAACTATATAACTAATCACACATAAATATACGCATTCATAAGAGATGTAGGTACTAGAGAATTAATCGATAAGAAACCAAAGAACGCAGCTCCAAATGATTAATAATCATCGTTTGAGTTATAATTATTTATTTTATGCAGTTAGATTTTTATTAGCCGGATATGCTGATGAATTGTTTGTTTACGTATTTAAAAATCATCACATTTATCGGTTATTAGTGCATTCATAGTCTAACTTTAACCCTCTAACTCTCACACGATATTGTCGTAAAACTCGATCCCTTGCTACATTTACAGTCTGTAAGATGCTGAAAGTTTCCATCTTGTGAAGCCAAATTTTGTCCATAGGCAAGCAAAAACTAACTCTGGTGTCGAAGTCATAGAAGCTTAGATGACATCATAGGTTCATTAGTCCTCGTTCTTTCTTTTGATAACGTATTAGTCCTCTTTGCACTAATATTTGAGCCAATATAATTTATATTTCTATTACTACTATATATTAGTGATTTTCTGACTTCTTTTATACTTGAAAAACTCATATATACATCTAGCTAGCTGACCACTGCATTAATAATTCTCTTATTACCGGCCTGTAGTGCCTAGCTAGTTGCCTTATCTACGAAGTAGTTAGCCTCAGTATCGTTGGTTCACAATCTTTCATTTTTCTCGACCTTTGATTAACGACGAAACACTGAACACAGCACATGACAAAATTTAGCTCTAGGCTGTTAATTATGAAAAATCTTGCAGCAGGTAGCTATGGTGAACTCAAAGCATGATGTAATCTGTAAGAACTTTTCTAGAATAGAAGCTTTGTGATCAGCTACAGTTTGTAAATATGGACCACGGTCCATTCTGTTCCTTTTGATTCAAGAATATGTATCTTCAAATTCATCATTAAAAAAAAAATGCGTTTTCCTTTGCTTGAAATTGCAGAAGTTATTACAGATGCACCAGTCAAAAATGCACAGTTAAGAAACGTGTGGAAAGATCATTCCAAGACCCATCAATTGTCATCACGACATATGAAGGACAGCATAACCATCATTGTCCAGCAACTCTTCGAGGTAATGCTGCTGGAATGCTATCACCTTCTCTTCTGGCATCGACATCGATAGGGCAGGGCTTTCCTCAGGATCTCCTGACTCGCTTGCTTCCACCAAATAACCAAGGCCACCAAACTTCGATGTTCTATCAAAACCCTCCTCCACAGCATCATCATCAACATCAGCAGCAGCAGCAGCATCAGCTCTATGCTCCTGATTATGGCCTGTTGCAAGATTTAGTTCCCTCCTTCATCCACAAACAACAGCCTTGAATTCGCTCTAGTCTCTCTCCCCTAGCTCTCATAATCTGTCTCTTTCTTTAGTGTACTTAGATTTTCATGGATGAGCTAATGCCAGTATGGTGCTCATATAGAGCATTGAATGCACATTTCCGACTATATATACAAGTATATTTATATGTTGGTATGTAAGTAGTATGCTGATGGATCCTATAAAAACCCTTTGCCCATTCGTCAAAAAGTGAATGATGGGGTTTCCCTTCAAGGGAATGGCAGTTTCCTTGAGTTTGCCAAAGCTAGAAATGAGGGCATTTAAGTGAGAGGAGACGGTGCTGGTAGGACTGTGCTAAATATAGAATTGGGTAGTATGCTGTGCAAGCGCAATTAATTGTTACGTACATGGCTTTTTGATCATGACGAGGAGGTGAAATTGCAGTATATATCGGAGATGGCTGTCTGCTCTTTATATGTAAATATTTAATTTCAACCTGCTACGCTATGCAAGGAGATCAGTTAATTTGCAATTTGAATATGGCTTTGTCATTTTATTTTTTCTCGTTATAGTTTTTCATTTGAAGTGCTCTTCTTTTTCCTTGTAAATTTCATGATGATTCCGTTATTGTCACGACTTACTCTTATAAATGCCGCAAATGCTTACCTTTACTTTGTTTCTTTCCTTCTCATCTTTTTTCTAACTATATAATATCCATACCGAAAAAACCGTATAATCTCCTATGCTAAAATTGACTTCCAGTCTTATGTGATTGTGAAGTAGAAACGAAGATTAAAAAATAAAAGATTTATATATTACTGTTTTTTTATAGGTACATCTTCATTGTAATTTCACAAGATTCAAATAAAGATTACAAATATAATAATGGTTTTTAATAGAATGAAAAAAGGACAGACTCACTAAAATAGCAACTATTGACTTTTTAAGTAACATCTCGTTTTGTTTATTTCATTTTTTTTTTTTTTTTTGAAATTTTCATTTTCAAGTTGCTTACAACATGATTTTTGTTATTAATTTTTTTTTGTTTTTTTTTTTAACGTTTCAAATTCAAAAATCTTCTCCCATCACTTATCAATGGAGAAAACAAACCATACTATCAGTCTGTGATGAAATTATGAAATCCCTTTTATTAACAAATTTGACAACTACACTTGAAACCTTTTAAGACTATAAATTCATATTCTGATCTATCATAAATATTGGAACCAAGTTTTAGTTGACACAATTCAACAACAAAAAACCTAACATTTTGAAAATAACAAATCAAATAAAACCGCAAAGTTTGGATCATATAGATTTAAATCGATAATTATTTAATTATTGAAAGCATCAAATATAATATTAACATATAGAATTTGTAAGAAAACAAAGTGAAAAGATAAGAGAAAAGGGAAGGACCTATATATGGCCGATCATTTTTTCTACAGAAATTATATTAGTACTTATTGTCCAACAAAAATAGTAAATAGGAACGTTGAAAAGATATAAAGTGTGGAAATTAAGTTAAAATGGAAATTCCAGCTCTTCTTCTAGGAAAGCATTTTAGAATAACAATTGGTGCAAAATCTAAATTTTCTTGTGTGTTTTTATATTTGGCATGCATATGCATGCATTCAGTAAGTTGCTATCTATTTTGCAAAATCACACAAACTGTAACTAGAAAATATATAGAAACTGAAAAAAAAAATTTGAGTATAGTTATCCCAATTATGTGTAACTAAAGAGTACAAATATAATAGTAGATCTTTTTGTGACAAAAATATAGGCTCATATGCATGGACTTATACACAAACATCATCTAATTTCTCTTGGTCTATTTGATTAGTGGGAGATGATCCAATCTTTAATAGCAAAACTCGTGATTGAAATGATGTCTTTTCATTGATTTTTCATAGAGTTATGCATTGAACTAGATGTATTGATGATTTTATTTATTCTAACTGATCTACTGCATAATTCTTATAGAAATAAAAAATAGACAAATTCATCAAAAATCTGCAATCTGAATTTTTATATCAGTTAGTCCCGTTTTAATGGTTGTATCAGTTAAGATTAGTTTCTTTTTTGGAGGATGTTTCTTATTTTTTTCAGTTTTCTTTGTACTCTAAACTCATGATCTTTAACCCATTATCTTAACGACTATCTGTCTTAATTAATATATTGATCGACTTAAAAAAAATGATTGATCAACGGCTTTAAATTTGTCGCTTCACCTCTCTTCCATTTTGCATATAGAATTTTTTTGGTCCAATATATAGTGGTTGGTAAATATTTCACCGTCAGCAATTCAATATCAGTTTGACCTCTTTTAAGTTACAAACTTAGCATGGCTCTTTACCACAAATATTGCGACGATATTATAGATACATGCAGATCTTGGGACTCGATCGCGGCAATTTGTTTGAGACCCCACGTACAATATTCCCGCGGTAGGGCCGAAATCGAAATTGTAATTTGCTAGATCTACAGTATGTGAGGGAAAGTTGTACACAAGCCTGCACCGATCGAGAAGAAATCACAATACATTTTTTAATCCAACGAGTTCTACACTTGATTCGAAGACAAATAATTTTAGATAAGGGACAAAGACATGTAATGATTAAGTTGGCTCGAAATCCTAACTAAAACACGCTTGTCCAAAGTAGTTCAGTTTAAATTAACCTTGACAAAGTTTGATTTTTTTTAGTGAATCAAAATAACTCTAAAATATTAATCGCGGACAGATGTATAGGGCCAGCATCTTTGTCTTTTATATTTATTAAAATAGACTGATAAAGAAGAATGGAAACGGTGGACTTTTACTTAATGCAATGAGATACTCAATTGGAAGTTTTTAATACCAGAAGCAGAAGGAAGCAGAGAGGTCAAATTAGAATACAGTAGAGTCCAAATAATTTGCTTCATTTTAAATTCATGTCTTTGAAATGGTGAATTATTAAGCTTTTTATCAATTTCAAAAGTCAATATCAATTCGAATTCAATAAAAAAGAACACAGTCAAATGATATAAGATTAAACCCAAAATCCGAATCACTGAATTTTTTTCTCAAAGAACGTCTTAGAAGACGCATTTCATGTTTCACACGATAATATTATTGTATGCACGCAGTAGCTGGGATTTTTTGGACGTGTCCTTATTTATTCACTAACCTGGTAAATTTTGGCAATGACATTGATTTTTTTAGAACACGAAATCCATGCAAGTCTTCATGTTCTCATTCCAAAGAATCTCAAGAAATCGTGTTGAAAAAATTGCGTTCAAGGAAATTGTCGGTCATGAAACGATATCTTGGTCGTATACGTAAGATGAACTGTTTCATTGACAATGAAGCAGTTATAGTTAATACCAGTGTATATATGTAGTACTCCAAGACCATTAGGAAATTAATTATGGGATTAATTGTGAAGTAATGAAACGGCTAATACTATAAATAATATGTAGAATTAGGAAATTAATTATAGGATCAATGGTTGACTTCTACATTAAAGAGCATAACTACCAACCTAAAAAGGTTAGGTTAAACGGAAAAACCTTTAATCAATTAAGTAAATGATTTTGATTATATTCAAGTTTTTATGCATGTAAAAAACTGTTTAAATAACTATGAATAACGAATGTCAAACTTGAATCAATAATATCCTAAAAAAAAAAAAAATTGTTCTACAAATTAATAAAAAGGATGTTCAAGTTAAAAAGAGTGAAAGATTAAGGATCATGACTCCTTTCAACTACTACCCTTTCATAAATATTTTTAGTTATTTACAAACTAATTAATAATACTGAATTAGGTTGTTTTGTATTTAAAATTTGAAAGATTTTGAACAATGCCTAATACATTATGATTGAATAACGTCATTTGATTTTTAAATTAATTTCAAATGGACAAAATAAATATTACGAGTATAGAGCTAAATTACCATTCAATATTTGTCGGGGTTACTATTGGTATTTTAAAAGATATATACAAAGCCTGCATGCTTTATCTTATAAAATCTCTCAGAAATACTGAAACTAATTAAAATTTTAGACTACTTTCTTTCTACAATCATGTTGGAACAAATTTTATCAACGGGATTTTTTCCAAACGGTGTAGATGGATAATAAGATGTGGATTATCGTTATAAATTAATATAGACATACATTAATTATTCGGAGAAATAACTAAATACTTCTAATATATTGTTCTCCCATCTGCATGAAAGTAGGATTCATCATAATCACTAAGATGAAGGAATAATGCACGTAAAGTACCTAATAATCTTTCGAAAATCAGTTAATATTTAATAATTCTTCAAAATCTGCTTTTGGTGGTTCTAATCAATTAACGAAGCGGGGTTCGACGCTTGACATGGCAATTTGGGCTATGATTGGATCTAAACTGCATGCGGGCTAAAGGTCCAATTTAATTTACAAAAGAATCGAACGGGGTCTACTCGCTGTAGTTTGGGTCTTGGCAGCTAAAAAAGATGGTTCTAATTCTATAATGAAAAAGGAATGTTGCCCGATTTCCTCAAAAAAAAAAAAAAATGTTGATCGATGTAAATTTATTGAAAAAAACCCCAAATTAATAGACACGATGGCACAAATTATATAAAGCGATTTTTTAATCATGAAATATAGCAATTTCTTTAAACACTAAAAAGTGTAAAATATATTGTTATTTCCAAAAACTAAAGGTTATAAAAGTTACAACTTACTAATTGATTCTTGAATAAAATAATAAAAAATAATTTTTCATATCACTGCTGGTTTATTTGTAGACGCCACGCAATTCAAATTTTTTTTTTTCTAAAACTTCTTAAAACAGAAATGTTGTTGCATATCATGCATACAAAAAAAATCTCAAATCACGATCAGTCAATAAAAAAATGGGCCGAGATTCTAGTGATAGAAGAATCCATCTCAATATGATTGCTAGAGAGTGTCAATCTCTTCTAAAATCATAAGATGTAATAGGAGAAATTATTATAGAGATATGGTCTTTCGCCTAAGATCCTAGACTAAATTAATAGAATTTTACACATAATTAAATTTATCCAAAATAAACAAAAAGCTTGATAAATAAGAGATAAAACCGAGTGATTGGAATAAAAAGCCAAAAAAACAAAAAACAAAATTAGATGTAGATCTGTGTGTTAAAAAAGAATAATAAAAAGAGAGAGAGAGAAGTGAAGAGACTGCAGCCATTGAAATTTACCAAGAACAAGGTTTTTTCTTTTAAAAAGCACTCAAAATTATCAGAATAAGTCTATTATGATATAGTTTTATTCTTTATGTGAAGCGATTTTAATTATAAAAACATAAGTGAGATGATTTTGCCAGGGAATCTAGTTGGTGAAAACATCATTTTGCATTAACCGAAGAAACTAATTAGCTCCTTTAGGGGGGATGGCAGTCTCCCCTTCGTAAAAATTTCTTCTTTTTAGTTAATTCGTTTGAAATAAATGTTTCGGTTGCTGACGAAAAAGGGAGCTGATGAATAAAAAAAAGAGAGAGAAATAATAAAAGAACTTAAAGCCAATACCATTTGTCTCTGCTCAATAGTCAAATTCCTTTACCTACGAACTTATGGGTGAGCTTCTGCTTCCACAGGAAAAAAAAAAAAAAAAAAAAAAGTCTGTGGACGGTAGTCTGTCTATGTCGAGACATTGGGCCGATCTCATGAAACTTGAATTCATTAGTCTCAAAATTCTAAGGCCTGACTGTACAGTATTCAAGAAAAGGCCCACGAACAAGAAAGTGAACTCATAATGGAAGAAATAGAAGGATTACAAAGGTTTTTAATTTTGTGAACAAAGGGCCAGAGCTCAGTTAAGTTTAGAACGAGGTTGATCATACAATTGAACCATTGCTCCTTCGAAACCCATCAGTTCCTGGTTCAATTTCTTCGGTCGTTCTCTATCTAGGATTTTTCTTCCGATAGAATATTACCATTGGAGAGCTACTTAGCTAGTATCAAACCCTAAAAAGAATTCACAGTTTCAAACTTTCTAATTGAGTGTTGGGTTATGTTTTTATTAAACACGTATTATTTCATATGGTAACTTGTTTAATTATTCGTAATTAATCTATTACTAAATAAGAAAGTGGATATCAGTTAATCTCTTAACAAAAACACTCTATGCGACACCCAAAACAAATACTACTACTTATTTGTCCTAAGGATACCCTTTAATTGATACAAATGGAATGATTTAATTTTTATAGTAAAAAATATTGAATTATGAAATAAGATTTTACTCAATTATGGAAATAAATCCACTCAATTAAAAACGCGAAACATTCGGTTTGTATTACTTATGAATGCCCTGATGACACGTTTTAGAAAAATCCATCCTTCTACTCTCAATTAACAAGTCTTGTTAATTAATTTTGTATTTTTTGTTATTTTCTATTTTTTAATGAGTGAAAAAGAAGCAAGATAAAAATAAAATAAAATTTAGTCGCTATAAACATTTGGGATTACGAAAATTAAACATTTAATGACATATTCTTTCGAAAAAATAATAATAAATATATAAATCACGGATATATACTTGCAAGGATTGGGTTCCTTTTGAAATCCACAATATAGTACTATATCAGCATAATCTCGACTAACAGTGGTGCCAATGTCTTTGTTTTTTTTTTGAGAGTTTTTGTCTCGATGGAAGCAGAAAAGAAAGTCTTTATTTAGGTTATTTCCTTCGTATAAAAAAATTAATTAAGGCAATTAGTTGTTTTTTGATTGATTAGAGATTTAATTATATTCTACTTTTAACTAAATCCAAATAAAAGCAAAAATTATGCAATAGATCATGCTTAAGAAATGTCTTAAATCTTAAGAGGCAACTGTTAACTTTAACATTTTTCTTTATCACTTTTGGTAAAAAAGAAAAAAGAAAAAAGAAAAAAATTCATAAAAAAAGAACGGATATCTCTTGTTGTGTGGTTTTCTAAAAAAATTTGCCTTTTTGTTTTTTAAAAAATAAAAAATTATTTCTTATTTATTAATGTTTCTAGTATTCTAAAACTGTCTATTGGTTTTAAATGGAAAAATTATTATTTGGATATAATTTAAAATGTATATAAATATACCATAAGTTAAGAAATACAACAACCGACAAATATGGTAGTAACGTGATGACAATATTTAGCGATATGCTAGTGGGGTGGAGACAAAGACAACAACAGATATGGTAGTAATAATAGTGATATTAAACATTAAATTGATGGATTATCAAAAAAAATATATAAATATCGATGGTCGTGGTTATTTAATTGGTAACAAGGAGTGTCAATAGCATAGTCAAGTTGATAAGTGTGGCTGTAGTAACGAAACGAGCATAGTAATCGTTAAGAGTATGGTACTAGCTGTAATGGAAGATAATGATAAATAAAGATGGTTGTGATCGCATGGTAATAATATTGATAATCATAGTATGCGTACAATGGTTAGCGGTAATGCTGGTTCTGGTGGGGTTAATAATGATAGGTGTTATTGACAAAAGAAGGTGGTAATAGTAATAAAGTTACAGCGAAAATGGTGTTGTAATAGCCATAATGGTAGTATTATGACAGCGATAATAGTTGTTACAGTAGAAAAGGTAGTGGTGGGGACGAATAGCATAATTCCCTGGAATTATATATATATATATATATATATATTGTGCATTTAAAATTTTGTTTTAATTAAAATACTGTATTTTTTTTTCTTTTTCTTTCTTTTTTCTACAAAAAAAAAAAAAATAGACCCATAAAAAATTGTAAGAAAAATTTCACCTGTATTCAAATTTTTTTATTAATTTTATCTTCCATATTGCTTTAAATTTTATATCTATTTTTCTTTACAAAATAACGTATACTAATTATTCATTAACTATTATAAAATTTTTCCAACAATAACATTTGACACGGAAGTTGACAATAAAAGAAGAAAAAGATTAGCATTCTTATTTACGTACGTATAATAGCATCGAAATTATATGCATAAATATACTTCTAGCTGTTAAAATAAATCCTCTGAAGATAAGAAAAAAGATAAGAAAAGCCTTACAAAGGTAAATAGGTGTGAATCTGTGAATGATTCGTCATCGAACCAGTCAAACAAAGCGTACAAAAGGGGCCCGAAATCATGGCCGTTCAGTACCAACTTAAAAACTTGTAACTATTCTTGCAGGCCTGGCAAAGTACAGCATCCAAGTGACCTACTCTTACAACAAAAAAACATAAAGATGACCTTAAGCGACTGGAACTACGTGTGAGCCAGTCACAGAAATGTTCCCAATAATTATTTCCGGAATCAGACCGTTGGACGTCCAATCTCGGACAATAAAGTCAAAAGCTGGGCTCCCTGAATTCAAACTTAGTGGCCAACCACCCTTTACCATGATCCTAATGGAAAAGAAAACTAAGGAATTGTCAGTGATCAGAGTATGGAAGTCCGTTACATGACCATTCTCAGCTAACATAAGCATCCAATATCACGAGTCAGAAAAAAGTTGATCAGGTCTTCCATAGGAGCATAAATATGAATGCCGATATCCCAGCTTTTATTAGTGCTAATTTGTATATTTTCCAGCAGACTAGGAAAACTCGATTTTTATGCTCACGCTCAGGAGGCAAGCCATTATAGTATGTTAAAAGGCACTGAAAAAGGATCAGGGATTCTGATGAAAAAAGTGTGGTGATCAGATCAAATAAAGCACAGCGGAGCATGCATCAATGTACGGCAGCGAATGGCAAAATATTGCAGAATAAAGAGCAGAAGAGCACCGATGCCTACATGATGGTAGGTTTTGATCCATAAAACCATCATTCATCAAAGAAAAAAGGAAGAAAAAGTGAAACAAGATATCATTTGCCATCCCAAGAACAATAATCAAGTGAGCAACAAATTAAAAGAACCATAAATAATTATAATCATTGTAGTGAAAAAGAAAACCCATGGAACCTCAACAAACATCTGTACAACTCTCTCTCTCTCTCTCTCTCTCTCTCTCTCAAGTTGCCCATTTTTGTGGGATTGAAACTCCCCCTTCCATGCTGGAAGCAAACAAACATCTAGCTTGTATATTATCGATGAGTTACTGAAATCTTTTAATTTAATTGATGAGAAGGAAATACTTCTTCAATCGTTTCCCCGTCAGTCCTATCCATGAGTTGTCTCAGATAGTTGATGGCTCTCTGAATCCACTACCTTGCTTTCAGTTTCTGTCGATTCCTCCTTCATGGATTCAATTTCCATGCTAGTTGTACGACTCTTTCTGTTCCTCCGATCCTGCAAAGGATTGTACGAGTCAAATTCGTGAGCTTCACTATACTGTGATACCAAGAACATGGTAAAATAAAAGGGTTTGGAAAATCTAGTTGCTGCTGTCTATTTGATGTTATGTACTTTTAGGTTTCATACAAATCAATTTCTAACACAGAAAATAGCCACTGCTCTTTGCATGCGTTTGCTTTGTTAATTGAAATTCCAAACAGCTGACAATAAAATACTAGCATTTGGAAAATTATGTGTCTGGAAACATGGAAGAGTTGTCTTCAAGAGTTGCCCTACACATTATGCATACTTAAGGATCATATGTCATCATAGTTAATGAAAGATATTATAACTTTGTGTGAGGTGACCAAAAAGCGATAAAGGTGTCCATCACAAGTGTCCAACCTGGCACCATTTGGTCCCGTAATTTGAAGAATAAGCAATAGGGAAGGAGCTCAGGGTAAATACTTCCCAGGAGATCTATTCTTCTAGAGTAAGTACCTTATAAAGATTACTCAATAGATAGGAACCCTTCTGGAAAGAAAATTTGAATTTCCGAATTTCAATGAACATACCAACTGCTGAATGAAAAAAAGAAGAAGACATAAACGATCATACCTCACGAAAGGGATACTCATCAGCTTCAAGCATTCGTGCAACTTGAGTCATTTTAGGTCTCTTTTCTGCATCAGGGTCAACACATCTAAGTGCAACCAAAAGAGCACGTTTTAAAGCACGTGTTGTCGGTTTAACTTCAAGACTTGGGTCCACAACTTCTTCAGCTCTTCTTGTCCCAACCATCATTTTTAGCCACTCGACAAGATTAACCTGCCATATGCAAGTGATGTGAACTAAGTAAAAACTCTTGCAGAAAAAAAGTTTAAATACATTTCAAAAGGAGGCGCATGCCTAAAGACAGTTTCAAGGAATTGTAAACGCAATGTAGATCAAAGAATATGGTACCTCGTCAGCAGGCCGACCATAGTCTACAGGATCCCTTCCAGTAACTGATTCTAGCAGGAGGACTCCAAAGCTGTAAATGTCACTCTTCTCGTTTAACAAGCCTGTATTGGCATATTCTGGTGCAACATAACTGAATTCCACAAAAGAGACTCCCATTAGAAGAAACTCACCAATAGAAACATAAACTATTGGAAAAGGGGAAAAACATCTACACATACCCAAATGTACCCATAACTCTTGTTGTGATATGACTCTCTCCAGAATCAAGGAGCTTTGCCAATCCAAAATCAGAAACCTTAGCGTTAAACTCATCGTCAATCAAAATATTGCTGGATTTTATGTCTCGATGAACAACCTTTGGTTCTATTGCTTCATGCAAATATGCAAGCCTGCCTCAAGTTTATACAAAACAATTTCATCATCTTTATATAGACATCCAGGGAACAAAATCCAAATTTGATTTCTGAAATCATCTTTTATTGAAGTTTTTTTCTTTCTAAAGAATGAGTTAAAAATCAACTACAACTAGATAATCACTTTAGATCAAATGAATCAAAATAAACTGTCCAATCAAAGCCATTTATGAGAGGTACTTTTGATACATAGAAAAATGTGGTTTGAATAGAGCTAAGAACTTACGCCTTAGCAGTTCCCAGAAGAACCTTCATGCGTGCCTCCCAAGTGAGGGTACCATGATGTTGCATTGCTCCATGCAGCCATTGTTCTAAGTTCCCATTATTCACATATTCATACACCAGCATCCTGTGAAGATAAGGATGCAAAAATTCAAGCTTAAAGCTCAAGGAAAAAATAGGTAAATATCAGGGAAGAATCATGAAGCATATACCACAAAAATAGTTTCATGTACTTGGTAAAAGTGGCATGACTAAAGTGAGAGTGGAAGGCAGAAAATAATAAAATTGATGGAAGTAAATGCATCATACCTGTGAACTCCTTCGATGCAGTAGCCAAGAAGCCGTACAAGATTCTTATGTCGAACATGACCAATAGCCTCCACTTCAACCCTAAATTCCTTCTCTGCCTGTCCCCTAAAGCCTCCATTCCAAATAAATTGTTAAATAACTAATGCAACAGATAGATATGGAATCAAAAAAGTAAGAGATAGTGTCTTTAAAGCATCCTCACAGATTGTTAAGAAGCTTCTTCACTGCTACCTCGGTTCCATTTATTAGTCTACCCTTGTAAACAACCCCATATCCACCCTCACCAAGCACATTCTCTGCTGCAAAACGATTTGTAGCAAACTCAAGATCCCTAAGCGTAAACCAGTGGCCCCATCCAAGGTGCGAAATTTCTGGCAAGCCGATTAAGGGAGAAGCTGTGACAAGTCCTGCATATGATAATGAAGATTGCTTCCGAACAGTCCCAGAGATTCCTTCTTCCCCTGAATGTGAACTACAAGCCTTCTCATGGTTATAAATTGAGCTGCATTGGCTGGCATTGTCAGGATCACTAGATTTGCTCATTCCCAAATGAGCTAGCATTTTATCTGAATTCTTGTCACTTGATTTATCATTGACCGTGAGGAATAAACTTTCACTGTGATCATTGCAATTTTGAACCCCGACCCTGTCAATCTTAATATCTTTCGATACATTTGGTATTTTCGAATGGGAGTACTTTTCCACTGATCTCCTAGATTTCCTCCGAAATGTAACCCATACAGATAAGACACAAAGAATCGAAATTATAAACACTCCTACAGATATTCCAATTAAAACCCATAGTTTCAAACCCAAAACTGATGTCTTCTTTGATAGTTCTGCTTTCAAACTCTCAGATGACATATTTGGGCCTCCAGGAATCACAATTGGAAACTTGTGATCTTACTTTACGCCAAGAGATTAACAGATATCCACCTGGACAAAGATAATATGTCATGTATGTCTATGCACAACAAGATGACCAACTGCTATCAAAATTTTGAACTCGTAGACGAGCTAAATTTTTGTCCAACACTCTCTAAATTTGGCTACTGAAGCAACCTATTGATAAAAGAAAGATTTATTTTCCTGATTCAACACTAAAACCTCAAGGAAATGAAAAGCAAAGAAAATTAATCCACCGGGAATTGAGTAGAATAGATTCTTGGCTTCATCTACGCCTATTTAAAAGGAACCGAACAGAAAGAAAGTGGACAAAAGAAGGGATAAGAGAGAATCCACAGGCCATTTGAAGACATCAATTGCATAACAATTGGCAGTTTTTTAAGCTTATGCAGTGCATCCAAAACTAAAACAACTTCAAAACCACAGGCATTTGACAAATCAACTAAAACCCATCTCCAGAAAAGTCTTTCTAATCCAAAAAACCAAAGATAATTCAAAGTTCAATGAAAAAGCAATCCCAGACCCATGAGTCACAAACAGCTAAATCACAAATCTCGAAAATACGAGAAAGGAATAAGTTCTCAAAAGGCATCACTTATGATCCAAGTAAGAGACAGATAAAGAGAAATGTGAAACCTTCAAGGAACACGAAAAAGGGAAAGCCGAAAGCATTTACCTTTGCAGTGATCTGATTGTCAAAGCTAACCCCCTTGATCTTCTTCCTTGAGCACCCACAAAAGCGAAGAAAGGGCTTCTCTTTTTTTAGGCAAGCGAGGCTCAATAAGCATAGATAGGCCAATGTAGACCTGAAATAACACAAATCAACCAAACCCCGTTGCCACCAAAAGCCAGAGTTGCAGGGAGGAGTAGTTTAGAAGCACAAGTTGCGGCCTCCAGTGGGCCAGAGAAAAAAAAAGGAATTTTGTGAATGATAAAAAAAGAAATGGCAAAGAAAGACAGACAAAAATCTAATCTTTCAAGGCAAAATGTGTAGAAAGCGAAGGGGAGAGTAATATAAATGAGGGTGATTCTAGGGGCCTAATAAAGATAAAATGGGTGGAAATGGTTGGTGGGTCTTTGTGTGCATGTGTAGAGTAGAGAGGGACCTTTCAGAAAGCTGGAAAGGAAGCTTAGTTTGCAATGGAGGAAACCAGAGAGAGAAACAGTAAAGGGAAAGCAAAAATGAAGTGAACAGAGGTGGCATTTATAACTAGGTAAAGAAAGAAAGAGATAAAAGACATACACTAATGAGAACCCAACAAAAGCAAAGGAGAAAAATGAAGGGAAAGAGATAGATGGAGCGAGAGAGAGAGAGAGACAGTCAACTCAACAGGAGGGAACTCCAATTCTTAGCTTGCCGATGAGGTTTTCTTACCAAACCGTCCTTATTCTTTTATAGAAATTCTTTATTGATATTCTATTTTTTCGCAATTAAAGGAGATTTGAGCAGAAAATATAAGATCTATTGTCCTAATCCATTGCAACCGAAAAAATGTCCTCGTCCATGCTGTGTTGCATTCGGCATTAAAAAGAAAAAGAAACGGTGGTGTGTATGCATATAGCACACACAACCTTTCTCCTGTCCTTGGTGTTTTATTTCGCTATTTACAATTTCAATTTGTTTATCACCAGATTCAATTTGACGATAAACAGTTTGATTTTTTTTCTAATTAGAGATAAAATAGATTCATGGACATTAAAATTGCAAAACAAATAATATGTTAAAATTATTCTTACAGTCACCAATATAATAAATATTCTATCTAGCTTATACGGTAATACAAACTAACAAATAAAATATCACATGGTAAAGCTAATAGTCCTATAATATTTGTGTGTATAAATTTACTATTTTTTTTAATATACACTATACAATTTTTTTTTTATAAATCGTTTTATAATTCAAACAATTTATTAAGATAAGGGATCGAAAAATAATTCATATAAGCGATCCAATTAATGCATATGTTATTGATTTATGCATCATATTAAAACAGGTATACGCAATCCACATTCTCTCATTAGGGGGAAAAAATCCTATCCAGATAGGTCATTTCTATCCAGATAGGTCATTTTTGGGTATGTATTTAAATAATGTTGCAACGGTTGTTAAGGGCAATCGTGTCAATATACATTTGACTAAACCTAACCTATTGAACTTCAAAAGAGCCTTCCGATAGTAATAAGTATAAATTAATTATAGCAAGGAAGGGGAAAAGGGGCACCCCCTGATTGGGGAGAGTCAAAGAGGCTTTGATTTGAAGCATGATCACTTTTTTTATTAAAGTATGTCTCTAACAAATCCTTTTCTATTCTCTAAAATAAATCCTTTTTAATTCTTCTTTTCAGATTGACATTGGAAAATTCTGGAAATCGAAATCTACAGTAGCCCCAGAAAATTTGGTGAGTGATAAAATTAAGAAATAAGAGATGAAGAGCCAATTAGACTGGTTTTCATGGGTGGAACTTGCGAGATCTATTGGCCCCAACTTTGGCTTAATTAATATGGCCCAATTGTAACCGTCTGATCATTATAAATCAAGTGAGGTATGACTTTTATTAGCATCTGGAAAATGAACAGATTGAAAAAAGCAGTTTATGCATATGTGTTAGCCCTCCCCCTCCGTTGCCACTTGCTTGATTTGCTAAGCCTTGCACGTGCATCACGTGAATAGCACGTGGAGAAACTCCTTTACTGAACTAGAATGTGAAGTAGTGATTATTGTTTCCACACAAGGCACCCCCGTTCTTCCCTAATCAAGAATTTAACGAGACGTGTCTCCATTGGTATATATTATTATCCTTGTTTTTTCCAAAAACTCTCTAGTTCAAACTTTAAAAAAAAATTAAAAAAATAAACAAGAGATCAATTTGAAGAATCTATTTTTTAAAAAAATAAATAAATAAAAATTCTAAGTATATAAACATATGCATGACGATGAAAGCAGTAGTGGTGCAAGTAAAAGTGTGAAACAAATAGAAGAATGAGAAAGGGTTGGTAATTTGGTGTACCATAATACGAACTAGAAGTCGTGAACAGGACAACTACACACACATCAACATGTCTTGAATTTCTAAATTGTCCACAATCTGCATGCTCTATGATTAATTAATACAGAGAAGGAGAGAGAGAGAGAGACATTGTTTTTAGAATGTAAACTATATAAATTGCATCTAAAGATATCGTACAAACAAATGCTGTGAATTGTGTATGAATAATCATTGTGAATATTGTATTGATCATTCCAGCTATAACCCTATAAAGAATGTATACTAATGCTATTAATAGGGTAGTAGTTCAGTAAT